CTATAAATTAAATTACTGTAAATACATGCAATTTTCATTGATAGTCTATATTGGAATCAAAAACCATAACATTTTCAAAATATTTAGATTCATATCGAGGTATTCGTTATATGCATACGAAATATTCGTTTTTTCTTAATTTTCTAAAAAATTTTCGCTTGGTCCAATTACTTGAGAATGTAATACGCCTACAACGTTCCTCGCAAGTCGTTGGTGGAAATTAAAAGAAAAAGTCTACCGTAAATTCACAATAGTTTTTCATGAGCGTCTGAAGTTAGAATTTTGTCAAAATTCGAAAAGTCACGAAAATTTGAAAACTTTTTTTTCATTCAATCGTGTATTTTTATTCGAAAATTGAATATGTATATACGATTCCAGTGGTTCGACCCTTGACCCAAATAAAAAAATTCAGGGAAAAAATTAAGTTAAAGAGTTGAAATTAATTAGTTTTAAGTCCATAGACATGAAAAACAAAATGTTTTAATTGTTTTCTATGGCTACAGTTATACTTATCACTTATATTATGAATTATTTTTTTCGTACTTAGTAATAATTTCTTATTTAGTATGTACAAAGTACAAATAACTGCTGCAGGTATAACAATAATTTACAACACACTACTATATTAGTCATATGTTTCTAAATTTAAAAATACATATTATAAACTATCAATATACGACGAATACGAAAAGTATGATGGTATATTTTATAATGGTTTTAAGTAGGTACCTACTTTTCTTTTTTACTATAAAATTTAAAAATAAAGTTTTCTTAAATTAGTCATTGACAAAATGATTTAATTCACAAAAATAAGTCCACAGTGTGTAGGTATAGTTTTCTTTTGGTTAAATAAAGTAACTAAAATTACTTTCTGATGGGGGGGGGGGGAAGTAGGTAAAATAAGTACACAAATTAAACGAAATAGGTACCTATCAGAATATACCAAATTTAAATGGCTTCATCAGTTATGTGCATTGTTGATAGTTGAAGAATTTTTAAAACAGCCACTGAAGCTTTTTGGTAATTGCATACTCTTTTTTCAAAGAAGTTTGTCTTTCCTCGTTGCAAATGGGAACGGGCTTGACGACCTGTAAACCAATAATTTACATATTTTTTATATTTTTCAATTGCTTTTGTAACAATATATCAGGAGCCTTGTATTAAATTTTTACACTTTTTGGCCCAACAGATAAAACTTTATTGATGTTTATAGAAAAAAAAACTAAAAACATTTCCGTAAGCTCAAAAAGAGTCTAAATATTTCCAAAATTGTACAGTGTATAGGAAATGCAAATATGAACATTCAGTGAAATTTCCATGTATCTACAGTTATTCGTTTTTGAATTACAAAAAAATAAGGAAATCGCCACATGAGAAATCAAGCGAATATCCAATGTTGTAAAAATTTGAATTTCAAACGCTCATAAAAATTTAATTTGATGTTCTTATAGACATTTTTTTTTTGACAAAGGTAGATAATCTTTTTAGGAATCTTGTATTACATTTTCACATCTTAGATTTAAAAAGAAAAATTTTTACGAATTCTTAACTCAAAATAATTTTGCTAATTTTCGTGATTTTTCCATATTTTGTCAATGTTTGAACTTTAAATGCTTATAAAAAAAAATTGTGACCAAGGATTTTTAATATTTTTTTTCTGCCTTTGAAACAATATACTAGGGGCTATTTGGAAAACAGACTTTGCGTAAAAATTCCCGTTATTCCTTAATTTTTATGTGTTTAATCCCGGCGCTTGACGCTTGTGAAAACTATTGGGAATTTTAAAATTTGATCTCCCGAATGCACCAACTAGATTCACTTTCCAATCGAACAAGATACTGAAGTTGAAAATCGAAGCATTATTTCGACTACTTATCTTGTACACAGACACAAAAATAAATAAAAAAAAACACACACATCATTGTAAAATCAATATACATTCAATGTTCCACTCAGAATCTAAAATCAGAAATCGAGTATTAAAAAAAATTATTAAATATAATCTGTTTAGGGGGCATATTTTAAGGAGTACTATTTAAGCTTGTCGTGTGACATATAAATTGTATTCATACTTATCTGTGTGGGAGTAGTAATTGAACATTAGTGGGCGTAATCCGTTATCGTTTCCGAGGATCGCTGCACGTCGAGTCGGGCAACCGCGCCGGAAGCAACTCTCACATGCGCACACACATGTCAATAGATCGCTAAAAATGAAATATATTCTTATTTGCATGACTATAAAAAAAACTACCTACTAAAAGCAATAGTAAATTAATCATACTTGCCGAAGTTCGATCGTAATTTCGAAAAAATGGTTGAATTTATAAACTTCTAGACTATGCTTCTTAAACAATGGGTTTTTTTGGTGGTATATGTCGTGAGAACGACCAGTGCTTCACTGCTTCGTTGTATGACGTGTACGGTGTACCCGATCGGTCGGAAAATACGATATTAGTTATTACCAATGTTTTTAAAAATACTTTTCAAAAGTATTTCAAATAGGTATTTAAATACTTAAATTAAAATGTATTAAAATATTTATTTAAATACCTTTGCTAATAAATATTTAAATACAAATACAAATATATTCAAAAAGTATTTCAAATATTTTTAAATACATTTTTTTAAGGGGGCTGGAGCGTAGTCCATTCTAAGGAGTAAAAACTAGGCAATTTATATTGCAGTGCATATGGGTCCGTGTCAATGTGTTGGAAGTAAATGAACATTAGTGTGTGTAATTCGTAATTGTGTACTCTCCGAACTCACTATCCGTTCAAAAACTGGTTTAACATAATAGCCATTGTCAATAACATAATAATAATATTATTGTACTTAATTAAATGGTAATAAATAATAGATAATACTTCATAGTAAATGGTTTTTTTAAATTACTGCACTACATAGGTATACTTAATTTCGACCAACCTTGAACTTCAAATAATTGTAAAAAAACTGTTCTTATATATTTTTTAAATTTGTTGGTTACAGTATCTTATTAGGAGTATCTACTTACGTAGAATCTTATTTTAAATTTTTAAATATATTTTTTCCTTAGCTAAAAAAATTGAACATTTTTAACTGCGAAATAATTTGTAAACTTTCAGTATGATAAATTGCTCAAAAAGATCAAAATATTTTGAAAGTTATACCATATATTATAAAATAAAAAATATAAATATAAAAATTTATAAAAATATCAATACATCGAGTTTCTAGACAAACATTTTTAAACAGGTATACCTGTATAATGTAAAATATAATTTTATTGAATAATCATAATGAATATTATAATACCACGGAAATAAAACCTATAACCTATACCTTTATATAATATATTCTGTACATAACATTACAATAGGTACTAATAAATAATAATCATTAAATAATTGTGTGTGATTCCCCGAATAATACCGATTACGTTGTATAGGGGCATCATAGTGACCGGATATGTACGGCTGTGATTTTACCTACGCGCATGCACATGTCAACCACATATTGGCTTATAAAATTAATAACATTTTTTTTTTCAAAAAATACGGCCAATGACTTCAATCACTACGCTTAGTAGAATTTTCCGATTTAAATTTAGAAAGCAGATTTGAATTCTCTTCTAAATTTACTATGCTTTGACTGTCGTACATTTTTCATATTCAATATCAATGGATTTAAATTTGAATTATAAAAATGATCAATTTTTACTCTTTTTGTTAGTAAATTCCTAAGTAAAAAAAAATAAAAATCAGAAAAATAAAATTGTCAAAGCATAGATAATTTAGTGACGAATTCAAATCTGCTTTCAAAATTAAAATCAAAACATTATATTGGGCGTAGTGATTGAAGTTGTGAGCTATGTTTTTGACCGAAAATGAATCACGCTCCAGCCCCCTTAAGCATTATTATTTTCTGATTCTTAATCCTTAAAACTAATTATTTGTTTAATTTAATAAAGTGTATTGAATATAGAAGATAATTGTAGGCTTATACAGAATTCCTTTATTTATAAGAAATTGTGAATGTAGTTATGTTTAATTTATGTGATTTATAACATATACTGCAGTTATTGAGTTAACCTAACTAAATTGTAAATATCTTGTTTGAAAATTTTGTATTTAATATTTTTAAATACAAAATATAATAATAAGTGTTTGAAATATACTTGAAATACTTCTGTCTAAAAGTATTTAAAATACAGAAAAAGTATTTAAATATTAATATTTAAATGTTTAACAGGTATGGTTATTACCATAGAGTAATTAGGTACCAATAACGCCTACGATTATGGCGGAATACGGTGACATGTATAACGGGGCTCACACGATCAAATAATTTGTCAAATATTTGATGTATGTCAAACTTCAAATATTTTAGAAATGGTTCCCCTCACGGCACTGCTAACCGTCGACTGGTGCGCCCTTTCTCTCAAGTCTTCACATTGCCTATACGGATCTCCTAAAAATCGGCGTAAACAGAAAATATGACGTGTTGTTCAACGGCACAGAACCGAATTGGCTACACTGAATTCTATCTACGATTTCGTTTGAATTTCAGCAAATACTATATACGATATATAGTATTTGATTTCAGTTGAAATTTCGAATCTTATCACCGTTCATATTATTGTATTGGCGTTTACTGATATTCATTATTATTACTGATCAAAATATGTTCAACTCGTCTTTAATCTATGGAATGTACCCGCTAAACCACGTCAAATACTGTAAATGATTCATTTACAATGAATCATTTACAGTAGTTGACCACGTCTTGCCATTGTTCTTATTCCGTTGTCTAAGAATGTCGTAGAATAAGTCTCAAGTCGTAACTAAGCCTAACTGCGGTCTGCGGCGATTGTTGTTAGGTATGATATTGTTTACTTTCACGATATTTTATTATGCATTTGTTCGAAACAAACACCGAGCAACACTTTAACACTCATTTTTGTTTACTACAGATCACGAGCAAATGAACACTATCGAGCGTCGTTAATTCGTCAGTTTGTAATGGAGTCCTCGATACCTAACACTAGTACGAGTAAGTATTTAAATTATTAATATTCATCAAAAATACATAGGTACCTACCTAGTTTGTTATTGACAATATCGGATAGTCACTAACCCTCTTTTACATTAATTTCATCGTTTATTTCAATCGTACTAAAGTACATATTATAACCCTTTAGTCTTGTATTGCATTAAAATATTCACACTGTATAGTTAAGGTAGTAGTGATTACGTTTTATATCAACAGTTTTTTGTTTAATTTTGCTTATTAATTATTCAATGTAAATAGTTCATATTCCAACTATAGGCAACATACTCTTAGGTCACTATTTGAAGTTTGGACCATCAAAAATCACTATAACAAAATTAGTTGTTTTTAACTACTTGACGAGTGTAGGTATACAATATAACAATCAATATTCCTATAAAGTGTTAATGTGGAAAAATATGCGGCTAGGGATAAGAGTTTCAATTTTTTAATGTATGCACATGTCTGGACATTGTTCAATGTCACGACGCTGTCCTGTTTGACACAGCAGGGAAACCGTTCTTTTATTAATTTTATGCTATAGACATTTTAAACTATATACATGTCAGCCGGTGCAGATCCAAAAGATTTTAACAAGGGGTGTTCAAACAAAAATAGGTGGGCTAGTGAGTGTTGCTCTTAGTGCCGGATCTAAATCTCAGGAGGCCGGGGTACAATTACCAATTGGAGGCCCCTTAAAAAAAAATTGCTCGACTTAACACTTATCTATTTTTTTTATACGTGTTGTGTTCAAGGCCTGATTTAATAAAATTAAGGCCAAGTGCACAATTTTTTTTGGGGTCCCCCAAGCCAAAAAAGTGTTCTAGAAAAAATCTACATCGACAAGGGGAAGGGGGGTAAATGTTGATAATAAAATAAAATATTTATATGTTAAAAGTGTCAAATATAAATATCTCAAAACTCATAAAATATTTGTACATTATTTCATGTACTATAAATACAATTTAGTTACTTGGTCTAGTCAATTAAGGACAATGAAAAGATAATACTAAGTTAATAACATAACAAAATTATAACATACTAAAATATTAAAAATACTTAAGGATTTCATTATATGAATTAAAATTAAAATAATAAATTTTCAATCTTCCAAAAAATTATAAAAATGGTAAATAACTTATTAATTAATAATTTATTTTGTATAATTAAAATGAAATAAAAAATGATCAATTTCTACAATTTCTATTTTTATAACATTCTATCACAAAAAAGTTACATAGACAATTACAAAAACTGTCAATTTAATGATAAAAATATACTGAACTCTGAACATTGACGGTTGGTATTACATTTTACAAAATACATTTTTATGGAATTAATTTTAAAAAACAATTTTCTACAAAAGGAGGACGGAGACCGGGGGCTCCTAGAATTTGGGGGCCAAGTGCAAGTGCTCCATCTGCACTTGCGTAAATCAGGGCCTGGTTGTGTTGATATATTAAACAAACTAAAAATCAAAAAATTTAAATACCATAATTTAATAGGAAAATTATGAAATTATACATTCACTCACTGTTCTCATACCTATTATACCACGCTTATATATGATGTATTAATCATTAATGTATGCTTCTATTGTTATTGTTATTGTTTGTTTATTACGGAAAAAAAATTCTAATTACATTTTAAATATAAGATAGTATGAAGGGGGAAAGAAGAGATAGAGAGAGAGAAAAAAAAAATATATAAATATATAAATCAAAATTATGTGTATAGTGTGTACTGTACATAATAAAATGTAATATAATTTGAGGAGAGGGAAATCTAAATAAAAAATATATATAAATATACATATAACTCAAAATAATTTGCACATTTTCATGATTTTTACGTATTTTTTCAAAATTTCAACTTTAAATGCTTTTAAGAAAAAATGGTGACTCTATTTTTAATATTTTTCAACTGCCATTGTAACAATATATTTTAACATAGGAATTGCAAAATTAATTTTATAATATATATAATAGTAGTCTTTCTAGGGCCCTTGCAAGTATAAAACAGACATTTATCTTTGTCTGTGGTAGAAACTAAATATACCACTCATAATGTAACTGGATTAGACACAAATAAAAACTTTTATCATTTTATTTTGATCAAAGATGTATGCATATTAATAATGCATATAATTTTTAGTTTCAGCTAAGTCTGTTGCATTAAGTTATGAAATGGATAGTTCCAATGAAGAAATTGGTAAGTAATATTTTAAAACTGAGAATATAGGTAGGCAATAATAATTCTACCAAAACTTATATTTAGGCGTTTGATTTTGAAGTAATAACAAGTTTTTGACCACTTAACTTGTATGTGGTTTTTCATCTATAATTACTATAATAGGCTATTTTACAATAGATTTTTTATAATTACTTTTTAATTTTGAACTTCTGTTTATATGTAAATTTTACATAAATAATTAAAATATAAACAAAGGTGGGCAAGTGGGTGTCGCTCTGCTGTACAGTAGGTTACAAGTGGGTCACTGTATAATGGATGATATTAAATTTGAATTCAACGATATAATATCATTGTATAAGAAAAACAATTCTGAGCGGAGACGGTATGTCAGTCTAGGTATAAGACATATTATATACATATCTATGGTACTAAACAAAAAATTGACCTATAATAGGTACCTATAATAAATTCCAAATTAATCATATCACAATATCCATTAGGTACTTATAACGCGTTATACATCAGCAAAAAACGTGATACTATCATAGGTATATAATAGTACACTTTAGAAGTTTTAAGTACCCACGAATAATATTATACAATCACAACAAAATAACTAAAATAGTTATTCTAGGTTTTTTAATAAGTAATTTTGTCCAAATATGAATTTAAAATGTCTGTAAAAAATAACTGTGCTCATATATTTTTTAGATTTTTTGGCTACAGTAAGAACTATTTATGAGAATCTTTTATTTAAATTTTCAATCCTTAGCTATAAAAACTGAACATTTTATAATTTATTAATTATGATGATTGATAATTTTCGAGATTTTGAATAAATTTTGTCAAATACGATCTTTAAATGCTTATAAAAAAAAAATTGTGTCTATGTATTTTTAATATTTTTCAATTGCTATTGTAACAATATATCAGGAGCCTTGAATTAATTTTTTACACTTTTTGGCCCAACAGATAAAACTTTATTGATATTTATAGAAAAAAAAAACTAAAAAAATTGAAAACTGAAAATTCCGTAAACGGCTCAAAAAGAGTCAAAATATTTTGAAAATTATTTCATGTATCTACGGTCATTTGTTTTAAAGTTACACCAAAAACCAAATCGATTTTTTGGAAAACCGATTTTGCGTAAAAATTCCTGTTTTCCTTAATTTTTATTTTATTTTTCCCGGCGCTTTTGAAAACTACTGTGAAATTTAAATTTGGACCTCCCCAATGCACCAACGATATTCACTTTCCAATCAAACAAGATACTGAAGTTGAAAATCAAAGCATTATTTCGACTACTTATCGTATACACAGACACAAAAAAATAAAATAAAAAAATAAAAAAACACACATCATTGTAAAATCAATACATTCATCGTTCCATTCAGAATCTAAAATAAGTATCCTATTTTTTATTAATTTATATTTCATGTTTATTTAAAAATAAACATATTGATAATTATTTTTATTCATTCTACACATCTACCACCATTTATAATAAATGTTGAGTTTGATATTAAAGTATTAATTTATTTAGTGATATTTAAATCAATTACCTTTAAACTTTTATTTTTAACTTATGATGTTCAGTATGTACATAGGTATATATATATTTTAATTTTAAATAGGTTCATTAAATTCTAAAATCTAAAACAGTTAATAGTTGAATATATTTTAAATGATAATTGTTTGTTGTTTCTAGACCAACAAGTTTTACGAGAAGCTGGAGAACAAACTATTAATGCAGAGTGGTCAGCAACAGTGTCTGCATTAAATTCATCAAACACAACTTCAAGTAATTCCTATATTAATATTGAGACATTAAAAGAGTGTTGTGCTAATCCTTCAGATACTCTTAAAGATAAAGACGATTTTATGGTTATTGAATCTTCTTCTACTGTTGTAAATATATCAAATTTCAATGACACTAAATATTATTCAGAATGTAAAACTACAGTATTTCAGAAAAAACACAAACCACTTTCCCAAAACGTTAGTCGTTGTTTTGAGAATATTCTAGATGATGATAGCCAAATGGAGATAACTCAGAATAGTATTTGTTTAAATCGCTTTCAAAAACGTAAACGGTTGATACCACCAAATAATGAAGATTTTATTAAAATTAATAATTCCAATTACAGTGGCTCAAATAGTATGGAAGTCAGCATGATGAAGTCTCCAAAATTCAATTTTTCCAGGAAAAAAAAGGATCAATTTGAAATACCAGATTATAATTTGTCTGCCTCAGAAAGTGATTCAATTGCTAATGAAACTAATATATCTAAAAGGAAAGAAAATACATCAAATTGCTCTATTGTTGTAAATGATAGTTCCAACAATATGAAGAATGCATCAAGAACAGAAGTCTTTACCCACAAATTCAGCCTAAAAACAATTGGTGTAACTGATTCTGTTTTTGAAAATATTATCAATAATTCAAGCATTATATCTGATATTACATTAAACAACAAGAAAACATTGTTGAATGAAACTGCATTATCAAATGTTAACAACTCATCATTTTTTAGTAAAATGGACTCGTCTAATTTAAACCATACCTATGATATACCCAATAATACTAATTCTACATCAGTCAAAGCTTCAATTGCTGGTGATGCTGATATACCTAAAGTAAAACAAAATACTGTTTTTAAAAAACCATCAAACTTATCTATTCTTGTAAATGATAGCTCTAACAATATTATGGATGTATCCAAAACGGAAGTCTTAGCACAAAAATTCAGCAGAAAATCAATTTGTGTACCTGATTCTGCATTTGACAACATTATTGATGATTCAAGCATGACATCTAATATTGGATTAAATAACATGAAAACATCATTGAATGAGACCTCAGTGTCAAATATTAATAACAGTAAAATGGACATGTTACATTTAAACCATACCTATGATATACCCACAAATATTAATACTCCTAAAATTGATGTCATTGGTGAAGCTAATATACCTAAAGTAAAACAAAATACTGATTTAAAAAATCCTTCAAATTCGTCTATAGTTGTAAATGATAGTTCTAACAATATCATTGATGTATCCAAAACAGAAGTCTTTACACACAAGTTCAGCCGAAAAACAATTGATGTAGCTGATTCTGTATTTGACAATATTATTAATAATTCAAGCATTATATCTGATATTACGTTAAATCATAATCATACATTCCCGAATGAACAGCTAGTGTCAAATGTTAATAATTCAATGCTTAATAAAATTGATATGTCTAATTTAAACCATACATATGATATCCCTACAAACATTAATACTTCTACAATTGACGTTTCTATTACTGGTGATGCTAATATACCTAAAGTAAAACAAAATACTGATTTAAAAAAACCTTCAAATTCGTCTATAGTTGTAAATGATAGTTCTAACAATATCATTGATGTATCCAAAACAGAAGTCTTTACACACAAGTTCAGCCGAAAAACAATTGATGTAACTCATTCTGTAGGTAATAAAGATTTTTCATTGTCAAATACCACTACTGAATCATTAGAAAGTAATGAATTCCAAACAAATCAATCAAAACATTCAATGAGTTCTACTTCAAGTAATGAAGGTTTAACTTTGTTAAATTCTACTACTGGATTGTTGGGAAGCTGCAGTTCATCGAGAACTCAGTCAAGGTTATTGACATCAAAACAATCAAAAAGTTCTACTTTAAATAATGGTACATTACATTTGACTATAGAATCATTAGACAAATCACAGAATGATAAATCTAAGCATTTAATAAGCTATACTTCAAATAATGAAGATTTAACATTAACAAATTCTACTACTAGATCTTCAGGAAGACGTAGTTCGTCTAGAAATAAATCGACATCATCTGAACATTCAACAAGCGTCATTTCAAACCATGATAGTTTGCCTTCATTAAATGCCACTACAGAAATATCAATAGGTGGTAGATCATCGAGAAATCGATCTAAACATTCAACAAGTGTTGTTTCAAACAATGATAATTTAACATTGTTATATACCACTATGGAATCATTTAATAGTAATGAATCTCAGAAAACACAATCAAAGCGTTCTATAAGTCCTACTTCATATAATGAAAGTTTAAAATCAACCAATTCTACTACTGGATCATCAGGAAGACGTAGTTCGTCTAGAAATAAATCATCAACATCATCTAAGCATTCAACAAGTGCTATTTCAAAAAATGACGGTGTAACGTCTTTAAATGACAGTAAAGAAATATCAGTGGGTGGTAGGTCTTTGAGAAATAAATCTAAACATTCAACAAGTGTTGTTTCAAACAATGATAATTTAACATTGTTAAATACCTCTATGGAATCATTAAAAAGTAATGAATCTCAGAAAACACAATCGAAACGTTTAATAAGTCCTGATTCGTATGATGAAAGTTTAAAACCAACAAATTCTACTACTGGATCTCAAGGAAGACGTACTTTGTCTAGAAATAAATTGTCATCAACATCATCTAAGCATTCAACAAGTGCTATTTCAAACAATGACAGTGTAACGTCTTTAAATGACAGTAAAGAAATATCAGTGGGTGGTAGGTCTTTGAGAAATCAATCTAAACATTCAACAAGTGTTATTTTAAACAATGATAATTTAACATTGTTAAATACCACTATGGAATCATTAAAAACTAAAGGATCTCAGAAAAGGCAGTCAAAGCGTTCTATAAGTCCAACTTCAGATAATGAAAGTTTGAAATCAACAAATTCTACTACTGTATTTTCAGGAGGACTTAGTTCATCTAGAAATAAATCATCATTATTGACATCTAAACATTCAACAAGTGTTATTTCAAACAGTGACAGTCTAACATCGTTAAATGCCACTACAGAAATTTCAGTAGGTAGGAAGTCGTCAAAAAATCAATCTCAACATTCAACAAGTGTTATTTCTAACCATGATAGTTTACCATTGTTCAGCGCCGCCACCATGGGATTATTAGAAAGTAATGAATCTCCAAAAACTCAATCAACAAGTCCTACTTCAAATATTGAAAATTTAACAACTTTGAATACCACTACTAAATCATTAAAACAAAATGTATTTTCAATAAATGAATCAATTTCAAAACATTCTTCATTAATTAACGGCGGAAAAACATCCATTAATGCATTAATACTTGGAGATGTTATAAATAATGTTAGTAGAATGTCTACTCGATCATCAAAAAGAAAAAGCAATTGTTCGGGTAATGTGGAACCCATAACTTCAATTATTATTGATGGATTATCTAATAGTGATGGTTTAACAATTAAAAATACTACTACTGGACCTTTGGAACAAAAGACATTGTCACTAAATCAATTAAATTCTTCACCAAATATTTCTAAAAAAACGTCCACAAATGGATTGATACTAGAAGATGATACAAATAATATTAGTAAAATGTATGCTTCATCGTCCAAACATAAAAATAAATCTTATGATGATATCGAACAAATAATGCCAAATATTACTGATTTCCCATTGGTAGAAATTAGACCACCTAAAACTAGAGTACTGAGATCTTCTCTGCATATTAATAAAAATAAATCTTTACCAACTAAATCATTGACGTCAGAAAATGATGTGAATAATTTATCTATTGGTTCTACTAGAACTTCAAAACACATGGCTAATTTTAATAATGAAACTTTTGATAATAATTCTGATAATTCATTATTTTGGACAACATTACCTGATGAATCCACAAACATATCAAATATCCAGAATGTAAATATGAATACATTTCAAACGCCTAAGAGAAATAAATTATCTATTGCAGAAAATATAGTTAATACAATTAAAATCATGTCAACAAATAAACAAAAATCTACTCATCCAGGCGCTTTTGAACTTGATGATCATAATGATGAACCATTAACAAGATCATTAGTAACACGTTCACGTTCATTTAATCGCAGTCGTTCAATTCTAACTGCAGTGTTTGGTGGACAAAAAACCTCAGAGTCAACGTCATTGTCCACACCCTCTGAAATTATATTTGATCAATCCCAAGTTGAAGAAAATGTAAAACAAAAGTTTAAGTCTCTGTATAAGAAAGAATCATGGATTACCAAACGTCTTTACAAATTTTTAATTATTAAGCTGCAACCAAATTATAATATATATTCGGTGAAGTATGCAGAAAAGTTTGTCAAATATTTAGCACAGTTATTAAAGCAAATTCTTAAAGATCAAGTAAATTTGCAGTTGTGCACAGATATGTTGAGATACCACATGGCGAGATATCACATCATCAAAGATACATTTGATTACTTAGGATTTTTGTGTGATTACATTCCAATGGAATATTATAAAAAGTTAGTTCCTGGGTGGAACCTTGAGACATCAGCAGTAAAATTTGATCCACAAAAATATTATATTCCTCTCATGGATTATGAAGAATTTTTACATTATATTATGGAACACCTTAATGAAGCTTAATTTCGGGATTGGTAAATTGAGTCCCAAATGACCCTAACTCGGTAAATTGAGTCCCGGGGAAAAACAGGTAGTAGGTAAGTTGAGTCCCGGAAAAAATAAGGTAGTAGGTAAGTTGAGTCCCGGGGAAACGATTTTTAAATAATAATTATTAATTATATAATAATATTTTTCCCCAATGATACACTCTTAACAACACCAAAGGATTCACATTCAATAAAAGTCCATAACTTTGTAACATCGTACCTTTGGTTAAACACAATTTAGATAGGTACCGAAGTAAGGACTTGTTCGTACGTATATACTATAATATATAGTGTGATAGTAAGATACCGTCATCTTACTATCTCACCGATTTCCCCCAAATATTTGGTCCGCATTTGCTGCTACAACCGTGCGTACAACCAATAGTTATGAATCGTATCATTCGAGATTAAACCGACGCGTTTACAGTCCACATCCGAATATTTTTAACTTTATTGATGAATTACTTGAAGTTCAGTCAGAGACACAAATAAAATTAATAAGTAAAAATTAAAAAAAGAAAAGCATGATCGATAACGAACAAAACCTAAGGGAGCAAATGACCAAATACACCGGTAATGTTATAACCCGATTTGAGTTTATTAAATCAATATCAATGAAGTTTTTACCAAGTACATAATATATATATAATAATAATGATAATTTTTAACAACAATAATTTTTTTAATTAATTTATGTAAATCTTAATATTATATATCTTTATATAAATAATATTTACTTACTACCTTTTTTTTCCCGGGACTCAACTTACCTCCTACCTGTTTTTTCCCGGGACTCAATTTACCGCTTTCAAAATGTACCAAACTTATCTCGGACTCAATTTACCTAGCCCCCTTAATTTAGTATACCTCTATTTACCACCAATAATCGGTACTTTTTTCTATATTTTATTATTATTATTAATATACTGTATGAAGTAGATTAAAGAAGATATTTTATTTTATAGTTTATTATTTATTAAATTGTCAGTTTAATGTAATATGCTGAATTTAATTGAGATTTGTACTTTTTTTTTAAATATATGTAATTTTTAATATTTTACAGCTGAACTTTTAATAATAAAACAGAATTTTTTGTGTAATTGTGTGAAATTGTTTTAAAATTAAAAATGGTATTCTTTAAATCGTAGTCAGATTAATAGAATTTTTGGTTAAAAACTCATCATTTTGTTTTTCGCACAGTTACCACATTGACTGACATGCTTTGGGCTGAGAACATTTTGCATCAAATGATATTATGTTAGTTGCTTTAACGTATTAAAAATGAATCAAATATTGTTATACATGACATGTTGCTATGTAAAACCACGTCGCATGGCAGTCAACGTGTAAATGCTTATGTGTACTAACCTAACTTACTTTTAGATTTTAAATGTAGCAATTAATGTATTGATTGTACAATTATATGTTTTAGTTTTTTGTGTCTGAAGGCACTGCCAATTTCTAGTAGAAAAAATGCTCTGATCATCAGTTTTGGTTGAGGTTTTTTCATAGAAAATTGGATCTAGTTTGTACTATAAGAAGGTCAATATGGAAAATTGTCAGTACTATTTAAAATAATTGGAAAAAAAACAAAAATAAAGAATGGAAATTTATTAAAATTTTAAAATAATTGTTAGGCAACCTTAGTTACCAAAACATTTGACCGTCCATATTTAGATTTATTCTAGGTTTTCTTTTATTTGATGAAATATTGTTCGTTGGTCAAAAAAACTCAATAATTTAATACAAGGTTCTTCATTAGTTGAAATTATACCTATTTATAAATATGTCAATATCACAAAAATTTGTAAATTATCTTGTAGTTAAAAATGTATAACATTTAAAATGTTTCATAGGTATAAGGCTAAACATTGTTTAAAAGAAGGTTCTTCATAAGTAGTTGATAACTGTAAGCAAACATCACTGATAAATGTTTGATAATTGGTATGCAAATGCAATGTTTCTTGCAAAAATGAATTTAACCTACTTATTATTAGGTACTATCAGCAGTATTAATATAATATAAAATATCCTTGGCTGACAAGCAGTCTCCGCTCAGATCCATTTTTTTTATTCAATGATATATCACTGAATTCAAATTTAAAACTATGTCTATTGAAGTGACCCAATCGACAACTACTGTGCAGGAAAACGATATCCACTTGCCACCTTTTTGAAACTATTTTGTTTTGAGCTTATGAAACATAGACAATTTAATTTTTAATCAGGAGGTTCAAAATAATAATATTCATATATCATATATTATAACTAGAAATCGGATTTATAGCATTTGCATATTTGTACTAAGTGTATGCACGTCTAGGGGGTTCTAAAATGTCCACGGTTCATCTTACACTGAATTTAAACACCAAATTTTATATTGCATATTTTGCGTATTTAAAGAATTATTGCATATTAGTTTATAAATGCGTATTATTTAAGAAGACGCTACCCATACATTTGTTGTCTCCGTCTTACACACGCACGACATACCAAATTGTCGTTCACTAGTTTCAATAGTATGCAGTTAGTTTTAATACTAGAGTGAATTGGCCTATTATAACATATTTAGATAATAACATTATCTGTGCTTAAGCGTTGGCTTTTATTCAATATTTTAATTTTCAAGCGAGATATGAGCATTTTAAATTTTTGATATTTCACGTACACATATCTTACTTGAAAATGAAAATATACAAAATATAAATATAAATATACATGAGACAGGAGACAACCCGTTGGTAGCACCTCCGAAGTAAATCAGATTGATAGTTTTTTTTTTTTAATTGTTTTTGTTGTGAGTGAAAAGAGTGAATTAGTAATAATATATATTTTGTTAAAACGTCTCTTGGCCGGTTTCCTCCCTTCTAGCGTATGATTTTCCGGGATGGTTGTGAATATTTTTGTTAAATATATATAGTATTTGCTTTGCATAATAGCAATAATTTGCATAATTTGCACTGGGTTTTATTATCCGTATATGAGTTATATTATAATACGGTAAACCATCGAAATATTTCACCGACACCAGGCGCGGATCTATGGGGGGGGGTCATGACCCACCCCAAAAAATCAAAATTAAGTCCTTTATTTTTATTTAAAAATTAAAATATGCAGAAATTGTGTTTTTAATGTTTCACAGATTTTTTTTTCAAAAAAAAAAATATATAAAATATAATATATAGAACATATTTTATTTATATATTATATTATATAGGTACCTACAGGCTACAGCCTGCATTTAAACTAAATCACTACTTGTTCATAAAATCATGATTTCCAATAAACATATATTTTCTAAGAATATTAATAGTGTTTATAAACTGATTGACGATTGACGATAATTAATAAGAAATCGGCGGAAAGATAAAGAATATGTTCGTCGTTCGACGGAAATATTATTTTCAACCCGTATAATAATATAAGGTACACTTACACTTACCTACAGTCTACACACGACACGCGTACGTCTATATATTATATAGGTAGGTACTTGGAATGGCGACGCAGCCACCGCTAATCACTAATTTGCGTTCTAATAATTTGTTACAAAATTGAAAATACTATATACAACGTTAATAAATGTTTGACTGCTTATTGAATCATTTGAATCATTTTATTTTGCTGTGAACGTCTGGGACACGTGCATTAGTCGTCGAGTACGAAAAAAAACTATGGTTAGTATATACCTAATTATAATTATTGTAATAATCGATACAATTCCTATTCGAATGAAGTTTCAATCGAGCATTTTATTATTCAAATGAGTATAATGTATAAGCTAATAGTTTATATTAGGAGTCTAAAACCTTTTTATGCAGTGGACCTATTATTTTCTGGAAATCTTGAGGGACACATTCGTAGTAAAAACATGTATTTTGTATAAAAATTAAGTTTATATAATTTATAACATACTAACATATAATTGAATTTTAAATTCCAAATTATTTATTTTTCATTATTAAAATAAAGTACGAACTAATTCATAATATGTTTATAGCGATATCTTATCGTCGTTAATTATAAGTTAATTATATTTGATTAAAATTATAGAAAAAATACAAGCTATACGTAAAATGTGATCCCGCAATGCAGTAGCAATTATGAAATGTGTAGCAACAAATTAAAAAGTGTGCAATACTTTTATAACATTTTTAATATATCTTTATTTATAATGCAAATTCACTTTTTTGATTCATAAATCTTAAGTTTCTCGTCATATATCAAGGACTTTTATTTTATAGTATTATCATATTCAACGGCAACATGGTTGATTGTTAATACTTAAATAGGTTGTTACTGGTATAGTTAAATATTGGTAGCACAATAAAAAAAAAATAATATTATAAATATAATTTTTTATATTTGTTAAATGATAAAATATTTAATAAGTAGTAGTGATTTTGATTTCTGATATATTATTTATTCTATACCAATAGAAAATTACTTATAATCTATAGGTATACAAAAATAACTAAAATTATAAATATCCCTCTGTAAAAACATTTTGTATTCCCTATTTAACTATAGTTTTTTTTTGTATTTTCATTTTATCTTAGTATAAAATGTTTGAAATGTCTTTCTGTATTTTATGTAGGGTGATTCATTTAAAAGAAATAGCGGGTCGGTAAGTAAAATAGACACATTCTTCAGTAAGAAGCCAAAACTGTGTATTCTTAACTGTGTATTAAGTTTTTGTCTTTTCGTAAATATGACCCCCCCTCAATTTTAGTTCTAGATCCGCGCCTGACCGACACTAGGAACAAAAATATAATCGAGTGAATCTAGCCCTACGGACAGCACTCTGCAGGCTGACAGAAGTTATAGGTACCCGAATGTCCTTCCTACTCATCAGTGCACACCATAATGTATTTTCATTGCAGCCGTGCAGTGTCCGCGCCCTAAAAATCGTCGCGATGAGACACTTCAATAATAATAATATAATCTTGTACGGAGTTCCGAGAGTATCTAAGGAAT